TATATATATAAAGTAGGTACATGCAAACTTTGATTAACATTACTGAATATAAAAATCTTTGACGAGTAAATGTTGTAATTAAAGCTGCTCACGTGTTTGTAAGATTTGCCGGTTAAATAAGAAGAATTCAGCAATAAGAAAAGTAATAACTCAGAAATGTGTAGAAACTATTTGGGGAAACGACGGCAGAATTTAACGTGCGAAAGTGCTTACTTCCACCTGACCTACTTACTGCCCAAATGTTTATTTTATGAAGAATGTGGTGAGATAATTTAGTATAATAACTTTATAGGGGATAAATACGTCATCCGCTTTATTTATGTTTTAATTGAAATCTTGAAAACGAATCTAGCGCCTAAGATAAAATATAGGTACCTACATAATATACACCGAATCTAAGAATTGTACTGTTCGTAAATTTCCAAAATTTTATTTTCTATATTATTGACTTCCTGGTTGTTTTGTTGCAACAAACGGTTTACTTTACTCTAATTCAAAATTTACTTTTATTACTTTAGCAAAGCAGGCATTGCAGCACCTGGTAAACTAATTTCAGTGCGGAAATCTTCAGTATTGATGCGATAACGTCTTCCATATTTATTAAAATATAGGCGACACACTAGCCTTTCGAATTATGCGAAGGTTGGGCCTAATGTTTATTTCCTACATGAAATCGAGTCTGAAAATATTTAACGATGAACTTTGCTTAGATTTGTGAATAGCTTCATAAATTTCGTTGGTTGCCATTTTCACGGTGGTAGGGCCACGCAGCAGCCTCGGCTGTTGCATGAATGGGCAGGCCCGTCCGGGTAAGTACCACGACCTCACAGAAGACCAGCGTTAAGTGGAAGTATGACAAATACTTTCGCGTTTCGTCTGGTGAGTGAGGTAGCCGATAACATATTTGCCTCTTTGTGTGCACCACTTTCAATCGCTAAAAGGTTATTTTGACTATACTTCTCTAGCCCTTTCACATTTTTCCATGGCGGATTGACAATAAATGTTACCATACGCTTGTTTATTCTAGAATTGACCTCTACGTTCAAACTGCACGCAGCAAGGGAGCGGAATATTATACCAGGGTCAGTTTTTCCGCCAGATTGCCATTTATTCATGGCACGAGATAATAAACTTCTACCTACTGAGCTAGTTCTTTTTAGTGTGACAGTAGCATTGATCTTTCTTTAAACCTTATAAAGAGACCAACGAAGATAGTAATTAGTCTTTACCGCTGTAAACCTCTGATAAATTAGTAATAAAAATAGTGTATGTTCTTATGAACGCAGCTAAGAAGTTATACTTATTTAGCATAACAAAAGAAAAACAACAAAATTTTATCCCCAGTGCCAGTACTCTTTGTTTGTGCAAAAGGCATTAAATGCAATTGATAGCGGTTATAACTTGGAATTGTAGGTAAATGTGAAAAAGTTGTTATTGTTTGGTATGGTAATACCGTGAAGTTGGTTTCTTTGACGCCAACATCACAGTATTACCACGGTCGGTGTGTGCGCGCATCGTAAGAAAGAGTTTTACTCTCATAAATTGTCCGCCACAAGGAATATAGCTTCAAAAATACTTTTTTACTTATTAATTACAACATGTGATATGTAGAGTATGAGTTAAGCATATAAATATATGTTATATGCACATTAACTGTACACATGAATGCCACTGCGGTTGTTGAACGAAATGGATTTAAAAAAGTTAACACCGTAAACACTTAAGCATAAAAATAATACCGACATTGACATATTAAAATTGGGAAACAATTCATGCTATTGTTGACAATAATTAATAAATTATAACTGCGGATGTAATCGTGGTTTTTTATGCCACTTTTGACAATAATTAATGAATTATAACTGCGGATGTGGTCGTGGTTTATGGTTATGCGGTTATAATAAACGAACCGCGCGTTACTAGACTATTTCTCTTGGCGTGTACCAATTACATTGTTTTTAACGATGCGTACGTTAAAATTATTATGCGGTATAAAAGCGTAGCAAACGATTTTCTTAACGGTGGACGTGATTGCGCATATTCCAGATGTCACGGCTCTTTTATAACAACATTACGCGGCGTATGTTTTACTGGGCTTTTGTGAGGCTAACATATTAATCCATTTGAAACTAAATGAACTGTAAATAAAATACCCGTGTAGGGTAAGACTTTGTTGAGCATCTGCAGTTTTTACCACATTCACATATTTATTTTATGGTCTTTTGAGTTTCCCTATATCACTATAATTAATTAACTTGGATAAGTCAACGAAGAGATCCTGGCTATGTATGAAAGCACACAAATAGACTTCATTGTTTCGTTGATCTTCTGCTTACGTCTTTAAATCGCACTACCTTCGGGAATACAAGGTATTGCGGGGCGAACAGTCCAAAATTAACTCGTATCGGACCGTAAATCAAAGTATCAAACTGACAAACTAAAGCGAAGAGTGAAGCCGATTTAATGTTGCATAAAATCGATTTGTGTTGGAATGGAATCAATAGCGTCTAATAACCAACCGGAGGTGGATACGCGTTGCTTAGCCAGCGCCACCGGCCTCCACAGCGGCGAGGAAAACATTTAGACATGCATGATTTATGGTAATTTAGCGCTCACTATTAGAACTAATCGAACCGGCCGGCGGTGCAACTTCCTGTCGATTACTTCATTGCACGGTGAACTAGAGTTCACGCGGGCTCGCGCCGGATTTTGGACTGCAAGCCCCCACGGCCATATGTAAACAAAGTGTATTTCTGCCGATATAATGAATGGTTTTATCTACTCATTGTTTGACCGACGCCGTAGGATGGGAGCACTTGGCGCGCGTTTTATTTCGCGCCCACCGTTGAGCGATTGATTGCGATAAATTCGCAAATTTTTCCTTTGAAGTTGTCGAGTATAAAATTATCGACGGCCAGCGGTTTTGAGTTTCATTTGAAATTTGTTATAGTCAAGACTCTGATTATTCTCGCTGTGGCATATATACATATTTCATATAATACCCAAGCTCGTCTTATAATCCTAGTATCTATTAAAGGTTCGTTGAATCGTCGAATGATACAAACATTTGATTGAAGTGTTGGAAATTAGGCTGGGTAGAAATTAAATTACGGTCTTTGTTCTCATGCAAATCTAATTTTCAAAGCATTTCTATTATTAATAAATCGTTATTTAGAATTTTCGTTCCTAGATACGGAACCCTTCGTGCGCGAGTCCGACTCGCTCATAGATAGTTTTTTAAACATTGGCCCCAATTGTACGAATATCTATCCTATGTCGTAAGGATGTTTTACATAGGTAGATAAATTTCAAGCGTGGTCCACACACTAAGTCAATCAAACTATACGTACAAACTTCCAGAATAATATTATCTCTTCGATAAAAACGAAGCTAACGAAGTAACAACCCATCAAATGGCTTTTAGCGTAAACAGAAACAAAATCACAAACACTTGAGGAAGGCGACATAAATCAGTTATATTTTTTTAGCCGAAATATTTCGTCGGGTTTTATATAGGTCGCACAAAAAGTTTCCTGAACTGGTCACTTACATAAACAATATTAAAAAAGTAATTACAACATTTGAAAATGGAACTCTTTGGCTGTAGAACGCAGTTTGTTTCATCTGACTGTCAATTCTTTTCTAACTATGATTTTTTACGATTTTCAGTGTAGTTCAGCAGAGGCTCGCTTGGTTTGAATCTGCCTTTGGAGATGAAGCACCATGCCAGAAGACTATTTATAGCTGGGTTACGGAGTTCGTATCAATCGAAGTGACGAATCTCGCGATGGTCGCCCGTCCATCGCTTTGAACAACAAAAAAAATCGATTCTGTGCACCGTATTATCGAAACGGACAGGCATGACCCTACCATGAGATTCGAGCATCCTTTGACCTAGGCATGAGTCAAATACAATCAATCGTTCCTTCAATTTGGGTGTGTTGGCCGTTTTGACGCGCCAGACGAAAGGAAATAGCCCAGGACGAAGGGCTAATAATACGACTCATACTAACATGACATACAGCTTGATAGTCTTATCCCAAAGCGGCCTTCGGTTCACTAAGGAAAATTATCTTTTAGTTTCCAAAAAAAAAAAAGCTTTTTTTTAAAGTTGGCAAACGAGCAGGCGGTTCACCGGATGTTAGTGAATGCCGCCGCCTATGGACATCTACACCTGGAGGGTTGCATATGCGTTGCCAACTTAAAAAAAAAAAACTGGGCCACACCACACGAAACGCGTACTGTGGCAGGACCACGCAACAGCATCTCCCGCTGCACGAATGGACAACCTCGTCCCGGCTTCATAGAAAACCAGCGTGAAGTGGAAGTTATTATACTTTCGCGTTTCGTCTGATCAGTGAGGTTACCAATACCAGGTTAGGTACCAATACTAGTGAGGTTACGATACCAATTTTTTTAAAGGTGCTGAACGCACTTGCAAGCCGCTCGGGTTCTGTACATATCTATGTGCGGTGGTATCCACCTAACATCAGGGTGAACAGCCGGCTCGCTTTTAAAATAAAAAGTAAACCTAAGAATAATACATACTTTTTTCTTCACAGCGGCGTTCTGTGCGGCGCAGTGCAGAGTTGCAACAGCATAGGCTGTACAGTAGATTTGTTTGAAATTATGGGTACTTTAGTTTTGTACATATTAAACCGTAAATCCCCGTAGATGTTATACTGACGATAATAGTCAAGAATACAAGACGTTTCGTAACAGCTGGTTAATGAAAGAGAGAAAAATGCAAAAAATATTTTTATTTAACTTGCAAAAATAAACAATAACGGTAAATCACTATGACACTAAAAATATACTGATTGCTTACTCACTAATACAAGTTTCACAAGCTCATTTAACTATATCTTCCTTTTTCTTTCATCTCCCAGTAGAGAGAGAGAACTGTTGTCTCAGCGTTTCATCGATTTTATTAGTCAAAGCGTGACAGGAGCCTGTATTCTTTATTTTTATATCGAAAATAAATGTTAGATAGGTACTTATGGGTAGACGGAGGATTTCACTTTTTTATGAAACAATAGTAATAACAAACTTCCTGTTATTAAAGCGCCGCTCCTGGAAAGTAAAGAGATACGTTAAAAGTTTATAAAATAATAATAAATTGAACTAGTTTTACGGATTTATTGCGTTTATTTTAACCCTCATAAGCATCCATGATGAACACTGTAAAGCGTTCGAAACGTTAAGAACTAAAATAAAAAATAAACGTGTAAAGTGCTTACAATTAGTTCCATTTAGTAAAGCGCAATCATCATAAAAGAATACCTTAAAATTCACTTAAATGCCAACAATAATCGGCGATAAAAACTGCACATCGACCTTAGGAAAGAGATAATCGGCTAAGTTCGCTTTCGTAGAACGATATCTCTGTACTACACTTTTACGTTAACTGCCAAACGTCAAATAAGTAGTGTGCAACAGAGATAGCGCTCTACCAAATCGAAATTAGGCGATAGTTCCTTTCCAATGGTCGATGTGTAATGTATATCGCCGAGTACTATGCAAAGCTTTAGTGATATATTGAGATAAACGAGTGTCTACTAGTAGAGATTAGGTTATGGAGGAAATTGTAAACACTGTAAAACCCATTTATTGCTCTGTGAATGGTGTGTGTTTTTTACTATTTATTTTTACTTAAATTTTCGAAGACTGAGCGTGCCTAACCCAAAATACGTGTGTTACGTCTGCCTTGGAAAAAAAACCGGCCAAGTGGGACTCGGACCCGTGTACGAAGGGTTCTGTTATTATCTATAAAAACGTCAAAAATCATATCTGTTGTATGCCCGCCACACTCAAACATTTTTCATTTTGTTTTTTAGTATTTGCTGCTAGTTATCTGTGAAAATTTCAACACTTTAACTATCACGGTTCACGAAACACAGTCTGATGACAGAACGACACGGGTCTTAGTACTAGGCCCCCGTTTTACCCTTTGGGTACGGAACCCTAAAAAGCGTTACTTACACCGAATGATCATTGAAAAGAGCGAAAAATTCTATGGTACGAGCGAGGTGTTTCGACGTTTATTTGTTTGTTGCCTTGCCACGATCAACACCGAGTGGGAGTGAGTTAATGTTGCGAGAATAGCGGGGAGACTAAAAAAAATAAGACTACGGGATCGTTTAAGTAGTAATTTACAATTGTCACTTTATGTTTATTTTACGGCAGTTGTACTTTATTGTACGTAAAGATTAATGCTCCATGGCGAGGTGAATGTTGCTAGAATTTATAGCATTGACTCGCGCGAGATAAAACTCATGACACGTCACGTTAGCCAAAAGGGTGGATTTCATCTGTTAGCCTTTAAACTTTAAAGGTGACAGGTGATGAATTAGTCTTGGTGAATAAGGTATTAATGTTTTTTTGATCTCGATGTAAGGAAGCGTAGCTCACGAGACATAGTCGTGTATTAATTCGTACACAGAAATCTCATTGCTGTGCGCTTTGAGTATGTGATCCCAAACTTTAAAATTATCAGTTTTACGTCTACCACAAGGCGATTATTCCTAACAACATGTTTTAATTATGGATTTTGTTTAACGTTAATATTTTTTTATGATTATTGGCAAGTAGCGTTAGACGTGTGTTCATTTATTGTCGCGATGGTAACGACACGCTGTATATTGTTTTTTTAATAAAATCAATGAAGTAAAAACATAACTAGAGGCAAGTACACAAATGGTAGAAACTATTATGGTTTATAAGTTATAACCGGATGTGTGTTTTATTTTTCTTAAACTATATCGCATCAGTTGTAAATTCTGCTTTGTAATGTTTTCTCTTCAAAAGTACAGTTTGCCAAATTATGGTCGGTGTTTCTGTTTTTATAAAAAAAAAAAAAATGTTTTTCAATGATCTCGTCGTTCGGCTCCACTTTCATATATTCAAATAATTCATCACTATTTCAACATGATTGATTCATTTCTCGACGAACTGAGAGTGTAATATTTTTGACTACGATTGGTGTTTTCAGACGAATATGACACGAGGTTGGATGCGCAAATTACATAATTATTATCCCCGTATATTTCCACCCGCCAAAATAAACCGCTAAAATAAGACATTACCAGATTGCGATGCGACCAGCCGCCGAGTGTTTATATGGGTTATAAGTCGATACTCTATAGTCCGGGCTGTTCCTGAACTGATTCAAGATTTTGTCGGCTCTGAAAAATTTTAATTTGATTTAAATTAAAAAAAAAAAAAAAAATATTAATATTTTTGATCTTTTAAAATTTATCTATATCTCTATATCTCTTATCGCCTATCATCGTTAAAAAGCAGACAGTAAACGACGTATGGGAGTAGTATGCGGAATATATGAATAGTGGTATTTAACATCAAACAGTTTCTTCTTTTGTAAAAGTACACTACCTTCTCTCAAGACTCATAGATTTTTATTAAACAGATCACTTTGGCTATTCACTTCAACACACATACCCTTTCACTTCCCTTCCCCTAACTAATCATTACCGTAGAGAGATAAGGAAGGTGAATCCTTTGACAATTTACATTCCAAAAGGTGCAAAGATGAATATTTTAAAAGATAGTCGCTCCTCTTGAATTGTCAAGGTATCGCTTAAAGTGGGCAAATAATAAACACCCATTCGTATGAAAATGTATTTAGAAAACATTTGATTAATTTATTTTATGTTGAGTCGATTTCCGCACCGCAACCTTGAGAATTTGTTGCATATTTTGTACTAGCTAACGGAGAAGGGTTGAAAAGACAGAATAGAGAAAGAAGAGGGAACATTCGACTGTGTTATCTGACTTCACGAGTCTACATGCGTGTCATGACTGTACATTCGTGTTTTCACGCTGGGCATCTTCTAATTCTCTTCACGGTTTTCCCACCGTTTTACCATAACTGTACAATCGTGTCTTCATTTTATGTTTAATAATGTTCAACCTTGTCTATCAGAGCGTACGGCCGTTTCTGCACGATTGTACACTCGCGATTTCAGGCGGGAGCGAGTATTCGCCATTGTACAATCGCGTCCACCCGGTCGTATGAACTCCATAGCATTCGGGAGGGGACGGTCGCCGTGTGCGTGCCGCGCCCCGTCGGCGGCGATCGTTTGCGTCAGCGGCCCTCAGCACCTGGGCCGCACTAAAAGCGCGGCACTTACGTGAAATGGGCGCCGGCCGCCACGAGCACCGCGCGGCTGCCGCACGGCCTCACGTCCGCCGCGCCGGCCCCGGCCAGCGCGCCCGCCACCTGCACAGCGGCCCGTTACAAATATAAACGAGCCACCCCTGGCCCGACGGCCCCGTTGCACGCTCTGTCTATAAGCGACGCGCCGAGGCCCTATTTATAGCCCAACCTTAAATCAACCTTGACAGTGGCATGAAAAACGGCCCACCGCGTCGCGGCTATCGAGCGGGCCCCGAGCGCGTTTCAAAAACGCGCCCGCGGCGAAAATATAGCTCTCCGCGCGCGACACTCGCGCACAATCGATGCGATCTAAGCGGCGACGGGGGATAAGCGCTAGCGGGCGCGTGTGTGGGTGAGCGGCACGCGCGCGTGTGCTCTGGCCTGTCGCCAAACGCCGCGCGGGGTGCGCGACGTGCGCGCACGTCGGACACGGTGTCGCCGCATCGCGCACAGAGCGCGGCCGGCACGGGCGCAGCGGGGCACAGCGGGGCACAGTGCGCGTCAGCTGGAAAGCGCCGCGGCACGGGAACGGGGCCGGTTGACAATTACTGCCATAACCGTCGCCCGAAGCGCGGCCGCTAAATTTGGCGTCGCCGTGCGGGACGACGCGAACGGTGCGGTGCGTGTACACGTAGCACCGAAATAGCACCGTTCCGAGTTCCTTATGCAACGTCTTTATCCTGCCAGGTTTAGTGTAAACATTGTGATAGTTATTGGCCAATATGTTTCGGCCAAGGTTGCCCGGCGATCGTTTCCCGCCGACGTTTTGCGTGCACTATTATTAGGTGCGCGGCGCGAAATTGTTATGATAGCTGGAAGCTATCCTTACGATATCTACAATATGATGACGTCGCACCTTTTCTATGCTTATAATGCGCTCCCTTAGAGACTTGATGTGCAACAGCTTCGGACGGTGTGTTGGAGGGTCGGTACCCAGGAGGTTCTGAAATGCAACCAATAATTTAGTAGTCTTATGCACCTATTGAGATAATATGTTGTTGTTAATAAACACGACTTTTTATACCTTAATAGTTAGGGGTATCTTCTTTTCATCGAGATAAAAAGTCTCATATATTACTGGCGAAGTGATAGCAAGCACGATATTAGAAAATTGATAGTCTACTAATAAAAAAAAGAGCAATTTGAAGCCCCAGATAGTATTAGAAACTATAATTTTTTTTTCTCTTCTATATAATCTTTTTCATATAATCATTCTTTAATTTTTGTAATAATAATTGTTAACGCAAACAGTTATAATAGAATACATTCGTTTGGAGGATCTCCAATTAACTATGTTCCTGCTTTCAAGCCGTAGTCTATTGAAGCTTCGTCAAAAGCAGCACTCGAGCAACAGTCAAGATTACTCCGTTTAGGGGGCCACGCATATGCGTGTGTCATATATCCGAGAGAAATTTTTAACTACATGCTATCCGAATTTCGGACCGTAATAATCGTTACCTGGGGGCGTTTAAAACCACCCATGAAGGTGGGTGTACGACTCACTTGCATATTAGTCTCACAGTAATAATCTTAACAGGAAAAAAAAAATAGAAAAATCTGACTGTGGTAGGAGCACGCAATGGTGTTCGCTGTCGCACAAATGGGCAGGCCCGTCCGGGTAAGTACCACGACCTCACAGAAGACCGGCGTAAAGTAGAAGTGTTACACTTCTGCGTTTCGTCTGGTGAGTGAGGTAGCAGGGGCCCACTTTATTAAAAGGTGGCATCGCATCTGCAACGCTGCGGATGTTGCAAATGCCCATGGGCGGTGGTTGTGACATAACATCAGGTGAACCACCAGCTCGTTTGCCACTTTCTCACATAAAAAAAATGGAAAAGCCCATCATCTAGTTAACAGTGTTTTCCGTTTAAAAACGAAATATGGACGAAAAATTTCTGAACTCCAAATTGTAAATGAGGATTTGAATCTGCGTCCTTCGGGATACCTTGAGGAGGTTTTCAATTCGACTATCTTTTTTATGTTTGTGACCTCAGAAATTTTGAATGAGTGAACCTATTTTGATGACACTTTTTTTTATTTGAAAGCTGACGCTTCCCGTGTGATCCAATATTAATTTCATTCGTATTGGATCTTGGGATCCGGAGATACTTGGGAAACTCCTGAAAATCAACTATAAAATGAACACGGAACGGGACTTTGAAGTCGGTTTTGTTGCTCGTTAGTAAAAAAAAATTACTTGTTTTTTTTTTTTACTAACAAGTAATTTCATATTATGTACCATGCCGTAATAATAATACGTAATAATAATACGCGTAATAATAATACGCCGAGGTTCAGGCTAGGCGCCCCGTGCGCCAGGCCACCTCAAGCCCGTCGGACCTGTAAAGGCCCCTAAGGCCAACAGTGGCTCATCCAGCCCAAAAAAAATGTACCATGTATGGCGTTGCTCCCCTTATGACGTTGACTTTGTTACTGAAGTTCGCCAGCGCGGCCAACATCTCGGTCGGCCCCACCGGTCGGTGCCTGCCGCTGTTCTCACACGCCGCCCAATGCCCGAGTCTGATGAAACAGTAGCCTGAGTAAACGAAACGTGAGGCGGTTTTTAGTGGAAAAAAAAAAGCAGTGACGGGAAGAATTTTTCCCACGTTGAAAAAAGGTAACCGGGCTCCTTTTTTATTTCGACAACGCATTCTCGACCATCGAGCTACTTGCTCTCTAGCCAAATCTTCACACAATAAAATATGCCAGAGAATCAAGATATATGGCACTATAATTCATAATAGGTTACAACACTAGCTGTTGGAAGCAAGGTCTTGGAAAGTAGTACGCTTGTGTGAGGTCGATACAGGAAGTGAGAGAGCGGACTTAACGGCTATGAGTTGTGGAAGTCAACTGACGGTCAGTCAATCGGAGGGGTGTGTTCTGAACATGCTCGGGCACTTGCTGTATCCAATCTTCAAAAGATGGTCAACGCATCTGTAACCCTCGGGTATAGCAGATGTCCATGGGCGGCGGTATACACTTAACATCAGGTGAACCGCCTGCTCGCTTGGTAACTTTCACATTTAAAAAAACGAATTTTCTACGTTTTCATTCAATTAATAGTTATCTTCTTTATTGTTGAACAAGTAAACTACAGTGCTAAGTGATAAATTTTATTTCGTACAACACGTCCGATGATGGATCTGACGAGTTATCCTATGTGGTCCACCTATTCTCCGATTTTCTCTAATCTTTATTGGGATTCATATATCAGTAGTAATGGTCTTCTTTGAATTATTTTTTATAAGTAGAACTCCATCAAAAATCTTACGGTGGTAGGGCCACGCAGCAGCCTCGGCTGTTGCACGAATGGGCAGGCCCGTCCGGGTAAGTACCACGACCTCACAGAAGACCGGCGTAAAGTGGAAGTATGACAAATACTTTCGCGTTTCGTCTGGTGAGTGAGGTAGCCGGAGCCCAATTTTCAAAAGGTTGTCAACGCATCTGTAACCCTCGAGTGTAGCAGATGTCCATGGGCGGCGGTATTCACTTAACATCAGGTGAACCGTCAGCTCGTTTGACAACTTTTCGTATAAAAAAAAAAAAAAAAAAAAAAAACAATCTCGCACATCAAACACTCACGTTCTTTGTATCACAGCAAAGGGTCGTAATTGATACAACACTGCAGCATTGGCTGACATCATAGGTTTTGCCGAGATTTATGTGACTCTTAGAGGCCGAGCGGATAGGCTTTTTATGAGCTAATGCATAAACCACATTAGACTATATCACATATATGTAATCACAAGGTTGGATTTTCAGCAAACCAAGAGAACAGATGCTTTACATGTTGTTAAATGTCTGAAAGAATTGATAAGTCCTTGATCATGAACCACATTAGACTGGTTGTAGAGATGTTGCCAACCTTTAAAAAGTGGGCCACAGTTACTTTACTCACCAGAAGAAATAGGAATGTATTATACTTCTACTACTCTGCTTTAGCCTGGCCTTTATGTTTATATATATATATATATATATATATATATTGCTCCTTCCACAGTATTAGAACATCTGCCCCTTTTTTAATAAAAACCTTAATACCTGTGCAATATGAGTCCCATCCAGCTTCATGGTATGATTGATTCACGTTAAACGGTGTACTTAATTTAATTTCATTTAATCCATATTGTAATTTCTTGCACCTGCCATTCACAAAGAACTCATATAAACTGTAAAATAAAAAAAATAAAAAACATGAAATAAAAGACAACAGGCAGTTTGATATTTAAAAAAAGAAATAAAAATAAATACCCTTACTCTTGAAGTACATTTGATTTCCATACTTCATCAAGGGTGAGCTTTTTGCTCATTTCATTTGATATATATTTAGTATCAAATATAATAGGAAACATGCTGTTAATGTTTTTTTTAAAAGAGGAATATGCTATGGGCAATGGACCAATAAATTGATTATGAAGAAGTATGAGATCAAGAAATACATTATGGCCAACCAAAGGCTTTCTGTAGTGTTCTAAGAGTTGTATTACTTGAGAAAACCCAAATACACTTTTAATAAAGTTTTCCTCCAGTTTGTCAATTGGTGTACTATTAGCACCTTCTACATGCTTATCTCTGTAAATTAAGATCTGAAAATATAATGAAACACTAATTATTACATAAAGTAACTTTAGGTACATTACATTTTAATGTTTATATGATGCTTTTGATTATGATTTCTTATGTAACACTTATCTCATAATGCAGCATATTATGAAAATAATGAATGATTTATACATGATTTTGTTGAAATGCAGTAAAATTCTGGAGCTACGTCACTTTCCATTTAACACATTATTTTTGAAATATAATTATTATGTGGGAAAGTGGCAAACATACCGACAGTTCACCTGATGTGAAGTGATAAAGTGATGGACACTCGTAATACCTGCAACGCTGCCACCTTTTAATAAAGTGGGACCAGCTATCTCACTTACCAGACGAAACATAGTAGTATGACAATTTCACATTACACTGGTCTTCTGAGCTTGTGGTATTTACCGGGAAGGACCCGTCTAATAGTGCAACAGCCGAAGCTGTAGAGTGGCCCACCACAGTAACATTAACTAACTTTTTGTTCCAGCCTATTAATAAGTGGGCTTTTTGTTCGTTATTAATTAGTATATCAGCTATTGAGGCCGATATAAGAAATTGTTTAATTCAATTAACAGTATTTTAAAGTGACACTGAGACACTGCATTATTACTTCTAATAAACTATCATTATTACCTACCATACCATATAGATATAAGATAATATATATGGTATGAATATAAATTAACAATAATAACATTTACATGTATTAATATATAGCAATCATTGCCACATTACCTTATTACTATTACCTAAGCTTACAGTTGTGAGAACTGTGGGAAACCTCTTCTGTATTTCCACATGTATAAGATATCGCAGAACTGGATTATGCATATCAATATACATTGTCTCCTCTTCACTGTTATGGAGCCACCTAAAAATAAATTGAATTAATTTATTTTAAATATGAAATAACTGCTACTTGTAGTTGACAAGATGTTCTTTTGAATCATAATGAAGGTTTTAAATTATATCTTGATTAATATTTGAACCTTTGTTGAACTGGTGTTCACAAGTGGCAGACTAGTACTCAAATCTCAATCTGCACTGATTTAATAAGTTTGGACCTGAGTAGGATTACACACAAGATGTTAGTTTTTTTTTTTATATGGGAAAGGGGGCACACACACAAGAAGGCTCCTTGATGGTAAGTATTTACTGCAGCCCTTGGTCAGTCACAATCACTTTTAAAAAAAGGCCCCTAAATTGTATCAGTATAGAAATATTGTTGGTGACAACTCATTACTTTCTAAATTTAATATAATACAGAACACCTCTTTTTTGAAATTTAGTATTATTTGGTTTTTATGTTTTCACTGAAACATTTGGCAACTATTCATTACTAATACTTCTAACATGATATTATGACATATTTATTATTATTTTGACATATTTATTACAAAACTTAGCAAAACTAAACCCAGTTGATCAAATAAAAATTTTGTAAAAATACACTTAAATTATTTTATACTAACTTGCAAACTTCAGAACAATAATGCTGTATTTGTCTTTCCTCCTCAATTTCTAGTCCTTGAGCCAAATAACTAGCAAGGCTTTTGTTTTTCATTTCCAGGTAAATTTTCTTTTGTTCTTCTTTTGAGAAATATGAAATGCCTTCATAAGTAAACTGAGAAATGAAAGTAAGATAAGTTGTAAGATATTATTGAGATATATTCATATATTTATTAGGCCCAGATTTGTTTGTAAAGATAATTAAAAAGTAATTTAATTTTATGCTTATGAATAAATTTTTATAGCTATATAAATTTTTAAATGACATTTCCTTGCAGAAGAATATCTCTTTTTTGAGCAGAATGTCCTAGAGTTAGAGCAAACCTTGGCATTTGTAATTTATATCACACCTATTAGAAAATTATATTCAAATGAGATATTTTCAAATTCTGTTGAAACACAAAAGAAACACCACATTTCGTTATTTCCTGTAGTTTTTAAAAAATAATGTTTTTATTTATATTAAAGTTAATGTTAATATAAGCATCAAATGCATCATACTAAGATGATAGCACATATGATGCGCTATCGTCTTGTAAATTTTTGTAGATGAATTAACAAAAATTTTGCAGCAATGTGGGATTCGAAGCTGGTCCCAGATTCTTCAACAACAAAACTTCAAAGTTAAGCAGCTGATGATCTCACATGCTTCGTACATTTTAATATAATAACTTTTATTATTATTTAACCATGTTTTAAACAAATGTATGAGATTAATGAATCTAACTATCCCACAAGTCACATATATGGATGATGTCAAGTGTTTGAAAGGCCAGAAATTTAAAAACAACATAAACAAGCTAATATAATTCAGAATAGAATTTTTCATCTATGTGTTGTATTCATGTAAATATAAAAATCATTATTACATAAAAAAATAATTTTACCTTGTTAAAATTAAAGTTGTGCTTGCATAGAAACTTAAGGGTAGATGCCTGGAATATAAATGATTGATCAATATCGCCTACAACTTGAGGGCAGAGATGAAAAGTATAGCCGACTGAGACGTAACTATCACTTTCCCTGTCATACTGGAACATGTTTAGGCCAACTTGAGTCATTATCATTTTGCTCACTTCAGTTTTGATTTTGTCATATCTTTCTTCATTTGTATCAAACAATCTGAAATTTCAATATATTTTAAATTAAGATTATTGTTTATTATATCCCATATACAAGCCTTTTTTTGTGTAAAAAGTTGGCAAGTGAGCATGCGGTTCATCCAATTTTAAGTGACCACTGCCACACAGACATCTGAAAAGTGGGCCCTGGTTACCTCAATCACCAGAGGGAATGTGCAACTATAATATTATTGCATCACATTTGCCAGTTTATCACCACATTTTTCTGTGAGGCAATGGTACTTTCCCGGATATGCCTGTCCATTCCTGTAACAGCAGAGGCTGCGTGGCCCTTCACAGACTTTTTTATCAGTTATACACTCAATCAATTCATATTCTCAAAGAAAAAAATATAAAAACTTTAGTATTCAGTATTTCATTCATATATAGTAATGTTGAATCCTTATGTAATTTTAAAAAGAACACAATGCACATATTAGAATAATTATCTTATCACGGTACATGTTGCAGTGAATAATTGGGAAAGAATCAAGTTAATATTTAAATCGGAATGAAGTCAAGCTTTTCGAAAATATTTCATTTACCTGTGTTTAAAGCATTCCTTTGTTAGAATTGCTGTAAATTCAGCATCGAATCCAACAAAACATGATCGTTTTAAGTTGTTGGTTATGTTTTCAAACTCTTCAGCGAAGTTTTTTTTAGTTATTTCCATTTTATCTTAGAACATGTGGTACAGCATATTTTTATTGCGTTAATATAAATTAGTTTGAATTATTGACTTTTCATGGCTGAAAAACTGAAAACTGGAATAGCAGTACTGAGTGGTAACATTGCATTTTTGGAAATATTGACAATCGCAAATTCGCAAAATAAAAACTTCAATCAGGGTTGGATTTAGCGGTAAAAAGATAGTACAAAAATCTAAAGGGATAGTGTTGCACAAAAAATTATAGCACACTATTATTTTCATAATTAATGCACAAAAAATAAATTATTTTACTCAAAAACTCGCCAAAAATTGTTATCACTTTGAATTTTGAATAAGAATGGAACGGCCATACCATAAAAATAATAAATTAATCCTATTAGTAGACAATTAAAAACTCTATTACTTACAGCAATGAGTGGAATGTGCAAAGTGATTGTTTGAGAAAGCGGAATATCGAAAAAAAAGTACCGGTAAGTCCCCGTTAATTATTATTGTTCATCGATGACACGTATTTAAAATCTTTGGTAATAATAAACAATGATATAGACAAGTGGTAAAACAGCTTTTGTCCGATATAATTACAACGTGATTACAACCCGAAGAACTTCTTTTAATGTTCGATTGGCAGTGAATGGTATAATATTGGTTATTTAGGTAAAGAAATGAAATTATGGTACGTTTTCGTACTATCCTTGGATATGGATAGTATATAGTACGAAGCATGAAATTATAGTACAAATACTATAATTATAGTACAAAATCCTACCCTGACTTCAATTTAAACTTCAATTATCAATATGTCAAATGTCAATGTCAAAATCAAGATGTATGAACGGAAGAACATTTCTTATATCTCTGGTTTCCCTTCAAAAAGGTATAACATTCTTTACGAATTTTTCATGCTTAGATAATCCAAGATTCCAGAGCGATTAGACACAACTTATTTTTAAGTATATTTATTATGTGAGAAGGTGACAAACAATCTGACGTTTAACCTGATGTTAAGCAATAACTGCGACTCATTGACATTAGCAACAGCATAGTTTTCCAACTTTTTAATCAAGTTGTCTCCGGCTACCTCACTCACCAGTAGAAACGCAGAAGTATTACATTTCTAGTTCACGCCGGTCTGCTGTGAGGTCGTGGTTCTTGCATTTACTACTTGTGACTCCACTGTCTGTCTATCCCTCTATCACCAGGCCAGTCATAGTTAAACAATTGAAATTTTCACAGATGTATTTCTGTTGTCGCTAAAATGTCGCAAAAAATACTCAAAAACAGAATAAAAAAGTATTTAAGTGGGGCTCCCATACAACAAATATAATTTCTTTGCCATTTTTATTGTTAATGGTACGGAACCCTTCGTTCGCAAGTCCGATTCGCACTTGGTCGGTTTTTAATTATTATCTTGATTAAAGGAATCGTAATCTTTAAATGGAGATACTAAGTTATTGAATTAAAGATGTTGAGTATTTTATATACATACAGCCTTTAATTAGGTATACATACATGTTTATATGGAGCATTGCTTATCAAACGACGCACTGGAACTATCTCCGATTGCGTGATATGTGTGTGTGAGTGCCGTTCATGTAATTATTGTAAACAAACTGTTAAGGTGTACGTGTTTAGGGATGTCTGCTTCAAATTATTTACTAAAGATTTCCCCATTGTTTAATAAGGTGAAAGTTTAACAAAATAGGTTGAGTAAAGTAATTATTTTGTAGATCAGTACTTGTATTTATTTTATTACAATAACAAATAAAATGAAATAATTACAATAGTTTATATTGTATGAAAATATCACATCTAGAAAACTTTTTAAATTCCAATATATTTGGTTTTGTTTTTGAACATTCAATGCAACAGATACTCGGTTGTAATATATTTAAACTGAATGTTTTGAATCATTTAGATATTTATTTTCTTTTGTAAAGTATTTTATTATCTTATCAATATGAATAGTATAAAAGGACCTGCCTTCGTTCCCAAATGAAAACACAGTTATTTTACCTTAGTACCAAACCGCGCACTATCGTGAATGCGGCTTCTGCTTCAAGAATTTGCCTCTTTATGTCAAACGTGCCTGAGTAAGATTTGTTAACACTTACGCTAAAGTGACAAACCCTTGTCGTTTTCTTTTTCTTATTGCTTTAATTACGCTATCCTGTCCACACCATTCGACATGTATGAGAAAGTTATGAAGAACGAAACGTGTGAATGTGTGATGTCACTGTGAACTGTGACACGATAGGCATAGATATCATCTTCGAGCTCACTATTGATCCCCCCCCCCCCCCCCCCCCATGATATGGTTAAATTAAACTATTTTAATCATTGGGAATTTAAAATCAAAGTGTATACCCACTAAAATCCGTAAATTAGTTTCATTTAATCATGGCAACTATTTTGGTGGATTAATGAATGAATTGGTTATTTTTTACTGTAAGTACTACAATTACCTGACTGCTTACACTGTAACGTCTCGCGGCAAACTTTCTGTCTATACAGCAGACGTTATAAGCTAAGCTACAGGTGACCGAATTTTATTGAGTCCGGTTTTTAGGAAATAGAACAGTACAATTACACTTCTGCGTTTCGTCTGGTGAGTGAGGTAACCGGGGCTTCCTTTATTAAAAGGCGATAATGCATCTGCAACCCTACGGGTGTTGCAAATGTCCATGGACGACAGTTATCACTTATCATCAGGTGAAGCTCGTTTGCCACTTTCTCACATGGACGGGTATAAGTAAAAAAGGCAAGCAAAAGAAAAATTTTAACAATACGAGTATTCTTTTTAATTACACGATAGACCACGAGACCACTTTTAATTTATTTGTTGGGTTCCGTACCTCAAAAGGAAAAAAAATAACTCTTATAGGATCACTTCGTTGGCAATCTCTCTGCCTTTCTTTTTTCTTTCAAAACCATTTTCTCAGGAATGGGTGAAGGCTAGGAGGTATCCAGCTGAAATTGATACAAAATTTCGAGTCTTTAGTCCTCTAGAGCAGTGTAAGAAAATCAAACTTCAAACGTCTAAGTTAACTGTTTCTTTATGGAAACGGATTGGAAATGCGTTGCCGGCCTTTTAGGACTCAATTCAAAATAAGGGCACTTCCGGTTGTTCTAGAAACATGACATACTGCAAGAACTAAGGTTTCGCAGTATAATACAAAGATAAAATAAAAAAAATACGAAATTTTAAATACATCACAAACAAATAATTTTTTGCAATTGTAAACATATTTGCTACAGAATGAGGGGCAGCCTTGTCGTTGTTGGTTAGCACAAGGCTTAATTGTTCTGACGGGAGGCGCGAAAGCGCGTGTGCCAAACAGCGCGGAATAACCACATGGGTGATATGGAAAGAGCGGGAAAAATCTTCGAGACTATTTCCGTGATGGTGATGTACGAACTATTTACAAAACTACAAGTATACACCGAATCCTCGACGTGCCAGTCCGATTCCCACTTGGCCGGTGTATTTAAATTACGGGATGCCATCAACAGCAAATCTGTTTGTATCTCTTTGGAATTGAATTGAATTCTAATTTGAGTTGAATTCCTAATAATTTGACTACAGTGTCACATCATTCGATGTCACCAAGGTCGGCACAGGTTAAACACTTTTGAAAGAAAACAGTTCATGAACAAATTCTAATGTCACTTGTTTGAAATAAATGTATAGTACCTGGAGGACCGAGCTTGGCTCGGTTTTTTTGTTGGTAAATCATGTATTTTGTATAAAAAAATTAAAAAATAAAGAAAATGATCTGGTATAGAAAAGAAGTTAAAATATACCCCGAATCTACGCACATACAAAATTTCATGAAAGTCGCTGGAGCCGTTTCCGAGATTCCGATTATATATATATATATATATATTTATATATTTATATATATATAAGAATTGCTCGTTTAAAGGATAAGAGATATACACTTTAATTGGAATGTCATTATTATAATATCTTAGATTTAGACCATTAACCGAAAACTAGTTTAATGAAAAAGCTATAAAATTATCACTATGGTAAAATTTTTGAATTGCTTTTAAATTACTATTCAACATCTAAGTAGGATTTAGTAATTCTACTACTAACTGAAATCAAAATTAAAACTTATATAATCATTCATCGAGAAATAACTTCACTTGCATACTGTACTAAGCCGAGTCTTAAATTAATAACTATTGCACAATGTTCAATTACATCACGATGCAGTGAGAGTTTACTCTCCAATTTACTTCCGAACTGAAACCCTGTTAATGTATCAAATCCTGAGAGGTTTTACTACATTAGATGCGAAATTTCTCATCGATATCATCACAGTATATACAGATAAATACATCTATATCTATACATACTACTACTACAAATAAATGAAATTGGAGTGTCTGTTTGTAATATTCAACTAACTGCTCTTTACGAAAATGCATATAGATGTATACAAATATACATTTACCTAAATAACATTTTTTACAATTTTTGTGTGTCTGTTCCGGCTAATCCCTGAAACGGCTGAACCGATTTTGACGGGACTTTTACTGGCAGATAGCTGATGTAATAAGGAATAACTAAGACTACTTTTATTTTATTAATATTTAATATGTATAATATGATTCTACGCGGACGAAGTCGTGGCCACAGCTAGTATTAAATAAATAACGTCTGAACGTAGATTGTTTCAAAATTTTATCATATTATAATCATTCGTTGGTAGAAATTTCTTCTGTAACGTGTTCGTGACAGAAGGTTAAATAAACGTTGAAGGTCTGAAACTAAATTACTGAGGATACACTTAACATTAAATGTAATAAAATTAAAATACACATACGTGATAAATAAAATTATGTCTGAAGATGAATAATATCTTGTATGTGGTGAGAATCAATCCCCCTTTAAGCAAATTGTCATTAGTTAGGCCAAAATTTTATGGCGGAGAGGATATGTCGATCTGCAGATGAGTCTTATAAATAAACATTGATGTCGGGTGCCGTATGTTGACGTCCTGTAACGAGATCGAAACGGATATTTTGTAAACATTAAGTGGCTCGAGGTCTGTTGCAGTTCGATGTTGCGACAATCAGTGGATTGTAAATCGCCGCCAGTCGCCACTTGATGGTCGGCTCGCGTGGTCGCGCTCTGTCATGTTCCGACGTCATTAACTCGCCTGTAAACATATCGGATTGCATCTTTAAAATGTCGTAAGTGATTGCGCGGCCGCTCTTACTCAACGTTAGAGCACATTTTAAGTCTGACAAGTTCGCTGAAATATCCTAACATGGATAAGGAAGACGTGGATTCACGTAATGTTTTAATTGAGAAGCCTAACTACATGCTGATGTCCTTGCAGAGGATACTTGTGTTGTTCGTTATATTTGCGAGTGTGATTGTTGTTGTATATTATACTCCGATGCCAGGTATGCCCCTATTTATGTTCTTATCTTTACTTCATTTAAAAAAGTATATTGACAGAATTTACACAATCCCAACTAATACTATTAAATGTTTATTTATACATAAATATAGGCTGCATGATACTGGCCATCTCTCTTGTGTGGGTAGTTATACTTATTAGGTGATAGTGTGTCGAACTAAAAGCTCGCCACATTTTGTCAATCTACAATTTAATTTATTCCACTTTTCGGATTGTCGGCACTAACGTGTAATAAAATTATAATTGTATGTAACTGAGGCAGCTTCAAAATCTCGAGAAGATTGGTTAAGACTATGTCTCCTTCAAATATTATAAAACTTAAGCAAATTGAAACTACAAAGTACTTTAAAATAAAAATATTTTCCGTATTTTATTGCGTCATTTTGGAGACAAAAAAAATAATGTATGCTTTAGTGTTCGAGACGCCTTATCATTCGACGGAATTTAAAATTTTAATTAGTAATTAAAAAACGTTTATGTGGTAAAATAGTTATAACAGCGTGTCGTTACAATGGCGACAATAAATGAATACACGTCTAACGCTCCTTGCCAATAATCATAAAAAATATAAAACGTTAAATAAATCCATAATTAAAACAATATATTTTTCAAACAAACTAATTTAATAAATAAAACCGTTTAAAAACTTTTAAGTTATATGGTTTTATTTTGTTTTTTTTTTTTGTTAATATTGTATTGTCATCTAAATTAAATGTGTGTACCAAATTTCAGACAACAACGGCAAGGTGCTTAAATTTCAATTTCTAATTTTGACCCAAACAAACAAATTCCGCACGAGTCGAGCTAAATAAAACCGTTTAAAAAGAAACAAAATTTGTAACATCCTTTACAACTACAACTGACTGATTCATACATTCAGAGACTTTTTCATTCGTTGCCAAAACGTCGCATTACAAATCTCCCCTTGGAACAGTATGTTTTATCTCTTTTAAAGTCATTCCACATTCATATGCTTTGTGACCTTTACATATGAACTTTACGGTACAGTTTACGTAAGGTGTTCTAAAAATGTTTGTTTTGTAAAATATAATAACTCGGTAAATATTGATGTTTAAAGAATGTAAATGGTTAATACAATTTTAAAAAGTTATCCTCTATACAGGGAGATTTTTTGAGAAGTGCCCAAATTTACACAGGAGGTTCATACTCGGTAGTATAATCGTTTATTGAAATAAAAAACAAAGCTTTTTTTTAAAAAAAAAAAAAACTATTCTATTCCCTTTATGTCTAGAATCTAATAAAAAAAATAGATACACTTAGAAAAGCCATCCTGTTTGTGTGTTCATTTATTGTCGGGGTTGTAACGACACACTGCACATAAAACGGTATGAAAAAAGTTAATCCATTATCATTGGTTGCAGAGGAATATTTCGAAAACTGTGATCGAGAATGTCATGAATTGGATTGGCCGATGATTTGTCGTGTAAAACTAGTCATAGAAGTATATAAAACTTATAGCAAGTAAGTATACCAGTTCTATAATTTAACGTTTTCATTTGAATGGTTGCAAAAGATAATTGATGACATTACTTCAGGTCGTGTAGCAACTGTGCAGAATCGCAAGGTGCAGAATGTCCGTCTATGTGCATAACAGCCGACGGCCGGGAACGTGGAGTGCTGGCTGCTAACAGGTTGCTTCCTGCACCGCCCTTGCACGTATGCCAGAATGACATCCTCGTTGTCGACGTCGTGCATCGGGCACCAGCACATGCGCTGTCGATACACTGGCGCGGACAGCCGCAGAAGGAGACACCGTTTATGGACGGAGCCCCCATGTTAACTCAATGCCCCCAGCCGGCTTATACAACGTTCCAGTACAAATTTCGCGCATCGGCAGCGGGTACTCATATGTATCATGCACATTCTGCAGCAGACGCCGCTGACGGCCTCGCTGGGGCGTTCGTCGTTCGCCAATCGCCTCGGCTCGACCCACTGAGGGAACTATACGACGTTGACGCAACTGAGCACACCATATTTGTTGCCGAATGGGGCCATTCGATGGGGCCACTAGCTGGAATGACTTCTAACGCGCCGAATGCCGAGTCGTTGCTCATTAACGGAAAGGGACGCTCCTCTGAATTTTCAAACGCACCGTTGTCAAAGTTCACAGTGGAACACGGGAAGAGATACAGATTCCGTCTGCTCTACGGCGGTGGTTTTAAAAGTTGCCCGATCAAATTTTCCGTTGATGAGCACGTTCTAAAGGTTATCGCTTTAGATGGATTCGGAGTTGAAGTTGAGGATGTTGATTCCATAACATTCGCTAGAGGAGAACGCGCAGATTTTATCCTGGACGCAAATAAAGCCGGTGGTGTTTACAAAATGAGAGTTGTGGCTGAGAAGGCTTGTCAAAGTAGTCTGGAAGGAGCAGCGGACTTAGTATACGAAACTGCCGGCGATAAGGTTTTACAAAAGACTGCCGAACACATCCATTCACCCGTGAACCGTGAATTTACCACAGTGAATAGTGAAAAGTGTCGTGATGACAATGTGTTGTGTTTGGACGAAATACATTCATCCAGCAAACTGCCGTCAAATCTGGCCGGAGCTGTTGACGAAATCATTTATGTGCCTTTCAACTATTCCACCAGACAAATTTCAGCGAAACGTGTGGGTGAGTAGGCAAATTCAAACAAATCGTGCCTTGTGAAAGTTCCATTAGCATCCAATTGTTTGAGAAGATTACTCAATTACTTCATTCACGATGTTTGAAGTATCCACTTAAAGAAAAAGTCTGTACGAAGTACCAAACGCGGATTGCCGAAACGCCATAGACTTTTATTCACAATCGCGATTGCGTAACTTCCTAAATAAATTTTATCATCTGAACATTTCTAGGGAGTATCAAAATCCATAAAAGTTCTCAGCTAAACATGGGAATGTCATAGACGTCAATAGGTCAATCTCAAAAGTGTTTAGTACTTTTAGGATTCACGTGCGTTTTAAGTGGAGCATATCTGTAAATGACTTTCGCATTTGAAAACTGTAAAAAAAAACTAATTGAGCACTGGGCTACAAACCTTCAACCTCGACGTACGAGGTATGCGTCTTACCTTTGTCTTAGCACGCACTTAGGCATACTCAAGTGCACGATTCGATGCTAAATCAAAATCACCGCAAAAATTATATGGCATAGTATAAATATAACGTCGTTAATTGAGTGATTGTTTTCAAATTCTATTATTTTACTAGTTACCAGCATCAAAATTTAGCAAAAAGATCAATATCTTTCTGGAAATGTAAATGAAAATTACAGAGTAAACGAAAATAACTCCCTAATATCTGTTATACCTTTAAAAAGTTTTAGTTTTTTACGGCACTTGCAAGACATTTTTAACTACAAAAATGCATCGTTATTATGGAGGTAGTCAATTTCAAATACCGCAAATGGTCATGGCGCTATCTCGGTTTATTAATACGAATGATTTCAATTAATATTCTCGGAAAAAATCAGCCAATGAATCCGAATGAAGGGTGATGATGTATACTATATATGCTAACAATATGACTCTCATGTTGCGTCGTACTAAGGCGGGATAATGAAATAAATTATAATATCTGTTTTGGGTTAAATTATATGAAACGTGTTCATATTGAATTCTCGTAACTTTAAGGGTAGGTTCTAACACTATAAAGTAGAAAATTATGGAACATAGACTACAGTCTCATAGTTTCGAATGTTACACTGATTTTCATTTAATTAGTACACAAAGAGTCCCCAGTATGGTGACCAATATAGTGACTGACAAGTGACATTCATTTATCTACAATAGAAAACTTGCATAACTTATGGGACTTATCTTACTACACTACACTGTGCGATCTTCTATTTTTTAACGTGTTCTAGCAATCGTGTGACGTAAAATTTCAAGGTAAGGTGTGTTTACATAGATAGCACGAAAACTACTTCAACAAATATCTATACACGATTGGGTTCTAACATATGGTCTTGATAATACTAAGGTATAAGAAACTCGAGAAGTCAATAAAAATACGTTGTTGTCTTACCTCAATGTTAGGTAACTAATCGGTTAGCGTGGAATAAAAAGAGAGAATTATTTTTTTATGTCTTCATTTCATAATAAGCACTTAGGATACCGAAGTTATTTTTTACTGCTCCGAAACCAAAACCATTAGCGACAGTTAACCATTAGTGACATAAGACACTTCCAAAGGTCAACGTTCTCGGTAACGTTCCGCATTTAAAAAGAAAATTGGATACTTATGTAATATTTTATCGGTCTCCATTTTCCTATAAAAGTGATGAGATATTACTTATTCCGATCCAGAGCTCTACAGGTGTACATTACCTATTCAAAACGTTTGTCATCATCCCCCAGTTCCTTTTCAACGGAAAACAATAATCATATTTAATTTTAACGCGTGACGTAAGAAAAAAGTTGTAAATTTTGAATGGTAGATCTTATAAATTTTTCTTTGAATATTCAACTTAGCAAAGGCTACATATAAATTTATAACTAAAAGATCTTGCTTCGCCGATTTATTTGAAAATTTAATAGTGTTGCATAGTAACTGTTATGGTTCATTTTATTTTAAACTGTTTTTTTTTAAATTGTCTCTTGGGCAACAATGCCATTACCGTTTACCACAGAAACGCGTGTCGATATAAATAATTTGTAGAAATATATTATTTAAAATTAGGCATTTACTACTTAGTAATTAAAAAAACAATTGAATAATCATTTTCATGTTTTATATTGTGTACTAGAAAAATATCAAGAACTGGCTTTACGTCGATGAATCTTTGTTACTTCTGTCAATTGGTTTTACTGTTAAAAACAGAAAATGGAGACTCCTTGCTTAAAGAAGCGTTACTTGTTTTTTCGAAATTGTTTTACCGATTTAGCAGATTACAAGACTGCTTCGATGTACGCACCTTATATTGACAGTCAAAATAAGGTCAGGTGAAACGAAAGTACAGAGATGGAGTCATAAAATTTAAGACAATTCCCTTTCCTCAGGCTCTGATTGGTCTATAGTATTTAGATAGTTTTGATGATAAACACGTGTTAAAAGTTTTCGTAAAAAGATTTCGATTGTCTTAATATAATATATTATAAAATTCGTTTATTTAATAAAGTCCACCTCCAGAGTCAGTTAATAGTTAAAATCAGACAACGAAGTTTATTGGAACAAAAACCTCTATTTACTTACGGAGATGTTTTTTGATTATTTTACACAATTGAACTGGCAAAAAGCTTGTAACTGTTTTTTAAATTTAAAACCATATTAATTTATTTATTTATCCCATGTTAAAACTATTTTTATTTGTAATATAAATAGTGACTACTTGATTACTAAATCTTATTTAACTTAAATTTGTTAATATTTAAATGAATATAAGTCGTTAATGTCAAAGTATATATTTAAGGCTGATTTAGTTAAGATTCTAATTGCAGCTTCAAGGGCTGTACCGCAAAATGGAAAACGAAACAGTTTGACGAGACAGAAATCAAAAAGTCTTTTTCCTGTTCTGCATTTTTTAACAAATCTAACGAAGCTCAGCGTCGAAGTCCCTAGCTATTTCGAAATTGATTACATTAAACTGCACAGTAATGAACTCACGGACGGACACGGACGCCCGAACGTTTCGCGATTGCATAACAACGAACCGGGCAAGAAAACATGTTAGTGGGTCGTCGCAGTTTTGCAATCGCCATTTTTATTATATATTACGCCGCGAGTCGCTTGTGTTTTCACCGGGGTGCATTTGCTCATGCCAGTCTGTTTAATGTCACGGTACGTTAAAGTGTGTATTAGGAAAGCGGAGTAATCAGTCTGCACTCTAGAAGATAATCACGTCCGGCGAAGCCGCAAATAATATCGCCTGATTGCTGTCGGTACGCGGGCTTTTCGTAGTAACAGTGCGGTGCCTTCGCCTTCGCATTACTATCGATATTTTATAGAGATTGATTATATAAAGTACTAGATGCTGCCCGCGACTACGTCTGCGTAGAATAGGCAGAAGGCGTAATATTCAGACAGAAAGACAGATATACATAAACATATGTATATAAATTATAGCCTATGTCTTATTCTGAAGTATAAACTATATTATGGTAAAGTTTCATTAAAATCTATAAATCGTAGTATTTGCGTGACAGAGTAACAAACATCCATCCACACATACAAACTTTCGCCTTTATAATATTAGTAAGGATTTACGATATCGACATGTTACGAATATTGGATAGTCAAAAGTATACTAAGGTTGATTCTGTATTTTTCCTGTTTCAAATTTATTATGAAAGTAAGTTTTCATATTATTCTTTTTTATTATATATACTTTATATTATTAATTTTTATTTTAGTACTCTACTTTCACGTACCCCTAGTACGTTGTAGTCGTACTTAAACTTTATTTAGAACGTTCTTGTTTGACCCTTTAACAGTAAAATTATAGCATTCACTGAATTGTAATTATATATTGAGAGCAAGGTTTAGAAAGTGTTATACTTATGACGGTTTTATTAATGAAATAACATTTGTTATGATTCTTAAAAGCTTACGGAAAACCGACTACTTATTATTTAATTCAATAGGTAATGAAAATGTATTGTGATACATAAACGTGTTTATGACATAGTTTGGATGACTTGATTGTTGCAGTTCCTAATTTAGTTCGATTCCCACGCAGAATATGTAGATTGTATTTGTGTGTTTTGTATTAGGATGCATTCAAATTTACATAAATAAGAAATGTAATAAATAAATATCACAAAGTTTAGTTCATATAGAAAATGAAGTATTATCTAGCGTTTTTCTGTACATTAATTAATACAGTTAATAAAAACACGAGTTTTAAGTTTCAAATCTCCCTTTACCTCAGGTGATGGTAATACTGGGTTAATACGTCTCACTAAAGCCCAAGGCACATTTTGCAGTAGAAAGTACGTACGTAATTTCTTACTATTTGCTTCTAGGAAGCTAAGCATTGGTTTTAGATCTGTAACCTACTTTTGTCGCATAATTGCAAGTGAATCTAGAAAGGTTGAAGAAAAATTTATACGTAAAGGTTAAGAGTAATTAAATTTCAATTCAAGAAGCATTTAGTTTTATTAATTATAATCCGATCTAACTTTTCTATTTATAGTATGATCACAGAATATACCAAGCACAACGCATGCTAAGACATATTTAGCCACATAGATTAAATTTTTTTGTTATGTCGACAACACTTCACATATTTAATTTGACATATTTAAGATTTCATGTCTGTTTTTTATTGTTTCTATTGTTTCCTGAACTTTCTAATAAATACCGCTAATTAACAACCTAAAATGAATGATAGGGTAGTCGTAAAACGCAGTCGTATAAAAACAGTAAGAAGAATAACTGTGATAAATGCGTAATATTAATTTTAACTGTCAGTGGCCAGTGCACAAAGCTCCGGCAGAGCTTCATAATACAATCGACATAAAACACCAAGGCATTTGAGTTCTAGAACTTCACATTAGAAGTTTAAATTGGAAATCGGCGTCGAAAACCCTTGTTAAATGTTAGTTTCAAATATTGACGTTTACTTAAATTCAAATTAACGACGTTTCATCGAATAATTTACGTTATGTTAAAATGTTTCTCAGATTTAAAAAAATTAAATTTAAAATTTAGTTTTATCGAGTAAAGTAAAATCATTTTGTAACCATGTGCTAAATTCCCATAAATGAAAAAAAAATATTGTCTGACATTGATGTGCGCCGTTATGTAAATTTTGAACCTTGTTTAATTAAAAAATAATAATTTGTACTTTAAGTTTTGTCTGCAGGTATACATATATATGCATACACGCATATGCATGTGTATGTATATGTTAGTAGTCTTTTGATTATATTTTCAACAACTTCTATACATTCGATTTTTATTGACTTCACACACATTATAATCAATCATTTCATGTCCTTATTAAAGGTTCCTTTAACATTTAAATTTAATCATACCGACCATTACCGACCATTTTGTTAATATTTTATCCATATTGTGTTTATGTATATTTTATTCTGTGGACCGCCCTACAAGTTTTTGTAAATGAACTCCTCCGAAACGTCTCGACCGACTTTTGTGATATTTTGTGTGCATATCGGCCAGGGTGGAGAATCGGACAACATCTATTTTTCATCCCCCTAAATGTTAAGGTTGGTCCACCCCAAACATTTTTTTGTACCCTACAAATAATTTATATGGCAAAGCAACGTTTGCCGGGACCGCTAGTATTTTGTATATATGTTTTAAACGCAGTCGATATTTTCTTAACTTTGTTACGGATAAATATGTATAATGATTTTATATTAAATAAAAGAAAAGTCGGTCTAATGTCTACTCTAAAGATCTAATTACTTAAATTTACACAACAACTACTTCGTAGTAATTAGGTCAACGTTTGTTTAATAAAGTTTATGCTAAGTCCAGCTGCGGTTTACTGCTAGCGTAACTAACACGCCGAAGAAAGTGAGTAGGTAAATCTCGAATGACAGTCTGTGTAAATGCTTCGTAAAAACAGACTGAATAGTGAGGTGTCGTAAAATGGCTGCTAACACATATTTAGCCACATAGATTTAAATTTCTCATATCGACTACACTTTGCTTATTTAAATTGGCTTACCTGGGTCATTATTTAAAAGGGCCCTGTTGCAAATGAGATTGCATTAATACTAGGTGTATTAAGGGCACAAAAACCACAGACAAGTTGACTAGAAATCAAAACATGTTACTCAGTTTGGATTTGGCAAATATGATCGATCAACAGATGTACATGTGGATTATATATTATGTGTTCTTCCATTAACCTTTACCCTTATCTATGTTGCGGGCTATTCCGGTGTGATGTTCTTCAGACATCTTAAATTTTTTAAATTATTGCCAGTTTGTCACAATACTTTTCTTCTGCACCAAGCACTTGGTTAATTGTGATTTAAAGTTGCAAATGATAAGTTTATTGGTACCGTTAACACTATTTGAAATTAGCTCACTGCAAATTCACAAACGAGCGCTTGGTCACCGAGTCACAGCGGCTCTAATTGCTACTTCTTCACAATTCCGTGTTTTAATCTGGTTATTATCTTGTTATTGTCAACATACTATGTAAGGTTTTTATATTGCTCAATTTAAGTAAAATCAGCCTAATCCCGTTTAATTCATTTTTGCTTTATTAAAAAAATACCAAAAATTAAAATCATGAAACAAAGCGACATTTTTCTACATCCAAATGTTAGACTTCACTTACTGTATAAGTTGTATCTTATGCGTGTGTTATGCTATGTACGTTGACCTCTTTATCGAAACACGTTTGCGGTGTTCAATTCAAAGCAACGTACGCCTAGTTATGAATATTGATAGTTTATGGATAATTGCAAAATATAGACAAAGATATTAATTATATTGAACGTCCGGGCTCGGGCCTGCAGTAATTTGATTTACGCCCATTATACATTTTCAGTGTTATACTTGTTTAGAGTATACCCCTAACGGTTTAATGTATCAAACATTTATTAGGCACATTTGTGTCGAGTTTGGACAAGTATATATTTATATGGCCCATGTGCACCTATTTCCGGTACGGGTCTAAAAATATCCTTCTCTGAGACCCACACAATGCCAAAGTCAGACGAATAATTTTGTTTTATGTGAGAAGGTGGCAAGCGAGATGACGGTCACCCGTAGGGTTGTAGATATTTATGTAACAAGGGCCTCATTACCTCACTCACCAGACGAAATGCAGAAGTATAACACTTTCACTTCACGTCGTTCTTCTGGCAGGTCATCCTACTTCCCTGGACGGACCTGCTCATTCGAGCGAAAGCAAACACATTGCATGGCCCAACCACAGTCAGCTTTAAGATGTTCTTTTCGCAGAGAGCTGGGGCCAAACGGACGGCTTCCGTTTCACTTACCCAGCTTCGCCGCTACTGACGCAACGTGGTGACGTCGCCCCTGAGGCGTTTTGCGCAAAGGGATCAAACGACGGCGATGAATGCGTCCACGTCAAGAGCATCCCTCTGCATTCCACCGTGGAGCTTGTGATGTTCGACCAAGGTACTGATTTCAATATAACTCGCCCCTTTTAGGCGGAACATAAATCTTTAGCAGCTAGATAAATAACTTCTATATATACTATGTCTTATTCACTTTTTAGTGTACACATATTTGTATAAACAGCGCGAATATATTGGCCAATTATCGAATTTATTTTCGGATTTATGAAAGAACAAAAATGAATTTGTGACGAATTAATATAAGTACTTCTTAATAACTTACAACGTTTAAAATGAAAACAAAATACGATAAAATCCGTAAACTAGTATTAAGTTCTATAAAATCTTTAATGAGCAAAAAGTTGCAGCAAATCATTAATTCAAAACTAACCTTTGTATTAAGCGGCCGTGAATGTATTTTAATATATTAAGAAATGAAGGCTGTGGCTTAATATGATATACAACCTTGTAAATATTAGAATATATATAAATTTCTAGTTGACACTGAAATAATAGCAAGGTCTTACGGTTTGCATATGCCGTTGTTGTATTAGTTTATTTCTGCCCATCTTCCAGTATTTTGGACACCTCTAAAATGTCATGAACCCAATATAATAAAAATCCCAAATAAAAAAAAAGTTATCGTCTAGTCAATATTATAGTCAAGCAGTAAATATTATAGTTATACAGGTATTTGGAAGGTTAGAACGTAAGCATTATATATTATACCACTTTATGCACTCATTAATTGAAACTTGTGTAAACTAATCCCGTATTAGTTTCATTTCTCTTTCTTTTCATCTTCTACATATATAGTTTTCGCATGCTAATTTCATGGAACACAAGTGGCAACGCAGGTACAAGGTTTATGAAACAATTATATATGTAATAGAAAAGCTCAAGACAAAATAAGATCAAACTTAACTTATAGAGAGAAATACTTCATTCATGTTCACGGCTGGACCCAATCGGTTCAAGAAATAAAAATTGTTGTATTCTAAAAGTTCAAATTAACTGTTTAAATAAACAAAAAAGTAGTGATATAAGTACAGGGAGTTGATCTACATATTTGTCTGAGAGTTAAAATCTCTGTTGTTATCTGCTCACAAAGCATTATAGCCAATCAGTACTAATATGATACACGCAACACGGATACGTTTAATTGCTATTCCGTAAAACCAGTTTGATATTTAACTAGGGTAGTGCGAGTTAGACGTTATAAGACCATACACAAAAATTATACATTAAAATGTCATGCAGGACTTTTACATTTGGGCAGTTTAATTTTTTTTTATTTACTATACGTAATGTATGTCTTCAACAAATAGTTATAGCTAAGGAGTGTTCTTTGTGATATTAGAAAACTATGCTAATAGAATTATTTATGGCTGTTTCACATCCATTATGGTAAGTGTAAGTGTAAATGACTTTTGATTTTAATAGATAGAAGTATTTATTTATTACAGCTTATCTGTATTTATTACAGCTATCTATGTTACATAATGTCCCAGGTATAATCGAAGATTTTGTAAAGATAACAAACTGAAATAAATTCCATGACATATTTAATAATAATGAATAAATTTATTAAGCGGGAACCCGCTACAAAGAATAAAGATTTTTTTTTGCTGAGTCATGCTGATGTAATTTCCTTAGCATATAGCATATCTATCTAGTTTATTTAAAAAAGCTTGAGCCAACCCTACCTCTTGCATAGTTCAAACGTACTTGCTTATGTACGTTAAATATGTTTACATATTTCGTTTGAGCCAACGTTCAATATGCTTAAAGTATTGTTGTGGCACTTACAATGAAATTGTGGGCAGTGGGTAATAAACAAGAGGAGCCAGATACTTATAATCAACGATGTATATTTATGCATCTTTAAAAGTTATATAATGTAAGATGTAATACTTTTTTTTAATCAATGTATAAAACCTATATATGTCTCAACAAATATGTCTGTCTTAGTTTACAGGGTATTTAATTACACTATAAAATGTATACGAGTGTAGTTAACGTAGAAATATGTGTTTTGTTTTTCTTAAGTAGACATATTCATAGTTTGTTTTTAATCAATTCACTAGCTCATGGATTAATATTGACATTGACATTTAGATTTAGACGTTACAAAAGACCTTGTGTTTAAATGTAACAGATTAGCACGAAAAGAGTTGAAACTTAAGAAGTGTTCGTAAAGTCAGACGGCCAGTGTTTGCACAACAGATAAATGGTTTTGACAGCTTTCCTTTGAAATTTCTTGACAGCTCATATTTTCCTAGCACTTTGGCTGACGGAAGATGTCTTGCAGTGTCAACATTCGCATCGCCACAAAAGGAACTTGTGTAACTAAAGCTATTGGCAATCGTCGGCGTCCGCCTCTAATGTAGATTTCCTTGACAAATAGCACATTTCCAGTGTTCTTGGGCGCCGTGTAAGTTAGCAAATACAGAATTTCCGTTTGACTTAAATGCAAAACCGGCATAGTTTAAGTCGAACTTGTGTGTAGAGTTCCGTAGTATAAGTTTGTATACATTAGCTCACCTCTTAAGTGTCGTTTGAAATTTGATGTGATATTATTCTTATCATTGGTTTTATCTTGTTTTTATCATGAATTCTTTCCCTTAATTTCATACGCCACATAATATATTGGTTAATCTTTTTAAATTTTATGTATTGATGTCGGAATTAATTCGACTGGATTTTGTTTATTTACTTGATTATATATCCGTGCTTTGCTCGAGTAATTTTAAATCCGTTCAACAGTTTTAAGAATATCAGAAACTTTGAGAATAAACTACCATGGTTGCCGGACAAACAGATAAACAAAGATTTTGTGTCTGTTCAGGCGGCTTTTTCATGGAATATATGGAACCTTTTAATTGATGTCTACATTTTTCAAAAATCTTCGAAAAATTTGATTTTTAAATGTTTCTTAGTATTAGAAGATTGCAAAGTGAACTTTAGACGCAGAAGCCGGTTCTAGCTTAATAAATAAAAGATTTAAAGTCCGCTCACGAGATTGCAATCTAAAGTTTGTGGGGAAGGAACGTGACTTAGAGATAACGTGTCTGAGTAGATGTTGGAATAGGGGAGATGTATGTTTATGTACATTTACTCTGTATGTAGACATATGTATGAGTGCAATTATAATTTGACCTTTAATGGCCTAGCCGTAGGTATTTCGTTACGACCTGAGTCTCTTCAAGTGCTTAAATGTCAACTTTCCCCAGACAACTTCTCAGGTTTCGACATGACTATTTACGCATGAATGCGATGCGTGTAAACCCGTCTTGTCGTGTTTTGTTTTCGACTGTGAAACGTGATGGAAAAATAAAAGGATACTTATCGTAAATCGGTACCTGGTAGCTGGTAGGTTCTCAAAGTAGTTTCATTGAGTTTCATTGAGAAACTACTTTGAGAACCCTATAATTTTTAAATTATTTATTTTAACACAAAGTACTCAGTGCTAACTGGTGGTGAAAAGTATCTGCTTTTAAAACATGTAGAAAAAGTACGAAAAGATTGTCGCCGCTGTGGGAATCGAACCCACGTCTTCGGCATTCGCGGCCTGACGCTCTAGCCACTGAGCTAAACGGCTGACAACCAGTTCTGCTTTTACTGAGTTCGGTAAAAGTCAATTTAAAATCAAAGCAAAACTCGTGTGAGAATCACTAATAAAAGATTTCTCTTACAACATACGTCGAACTGCAGGCCGATCCATGAATGTATGAAGGCATCCCTATCCATCATGAATGCGGAGGAACGGTCACCGAACTTGAGGTATAATATATAAATATAAAATAAATAGAAGAAAAGACTTACTACTACTACTTATTGGATAAATTTTAAATCCATGTAACATATAAATTTTCATTAACGGATAAATTTTAATTAAATACCAATCTCAGTAAATAGTGAATGCATGGTGTTTTAGGAACAAAGAAATTCCAATCGGGTAATCTTCGGCCACATACAATATAGTTATTGTATGTGGCCGAAGATTACGTCTGCGTGTTTCTGTGCCCTGACCGATGCAAAAAAGATTGAAAAATGCAACGTGGCTTTCTAGTGGTTACCCGTTCTGGCACTATCCCAAAGTAGTGGATCCAAAAAGCAGTATTCCCATGTAAAAAACAAAAAAAACCTTTTTTTATTTGTAGCGTATGGTCAGTAAGTAGTAGGCTTCTTGGAGTCCGTAGGTTCATAAGCCGTAAGAAGACTATAATATAATATAATATAGAATAAGAATAATTTTAAGGTTGAATATAAATTATGTAGCGAATCAATTCTAAACACAACAACAACGTCAATGGCGAAGTTTGGAATTACATTCAACAGAAATTGTTACTCCTTTATATTTAAACTTAATTTCTTACTTTATTCATCTGTTTCTTAATAAGAATTAGCATGAATTTGAAGTGCACAATGAAATCAGACGTCGCGCTCTGGAAGGATTTAAATCCATATTTATTATAATTAAAACATTGAATGTATTCAATTTTTCCAAAGAATCAATAAAAAACATGTACTTTGTAAGGAAAAGAATTATTGTTTATGAATTATTGATCATATTTTTTGATTTCTTTGTTATCACTATAAGGTATTTATATTTCATTGTCTATTCTATCGAATAGTTTTTAAGTACCTATAGTATAAGTGTAGGTATTATAATGAAAAATGTGCTTCATCTGATGTTGCACGAATGGGCAGGCACATCTGGGGAAGGCCCACATACTCATTTCGCGTTTCGTCTAGTGAGTTAGGTAGCCGGGGCTTTCGTTTTTCTTTTTAGGATGGCAACGCATTGTAGATGCTACAGGTGTTGTTGATGGCCCAGGGGCGGTTATCATTTAACGTCAGGTGACCCTCAGGGTTGTTAGCTTTGCACATAAAAAAATAAAAAGCGTACTCATCTATGACAATGAGTCGATCGCAACACGTATTTTCGTTTAAAAATAATAATCTAAAAAAAATTTGGTGCTAGCTAAGCTAAGCATAGCTAAGCTAAGCTAAACTGGGATCCAATATTTTTCATTGCTAAGTTAAGCAATTAATTTGAGGTCATCTCAAATGAACATTATTTAATGTTAGATAAGTGCAGCATTAGTCTAACGTAAATTTTTCAAACGTAAAGTAAATTTTTAGAATATATTAACGATTTGGTTTTTTAAAAACTGTAGAAAAAGTACGAAAATATTGTCGCCGCTGTGGGAATCGAACCCATTCATGTCTTCGGCATTCGCGGCCTGGCGCTTAAGCCACTAAGCTAAAAAAAAAACGGTTGACAGCCACACCGAAGAAAATCTGTGAAAGTTTTTTTAGCATTTGAAGCAATGCTTTGCGCATCCATTTTTAAATCCTTTCTAGCATACAAACAATTTCGAATTTCGAATTTGGTTTTTGCTTCGTAAATTTTACTTGTATTCTGATATTTCTCTTAAAATTTACAATGAGTAAATTGTTGAAGCAATATCAATTAATTTATTCTGCTATTAACATTTAGCTATCTTAAACCTGTTTTATGTAAGTAAATATTAACGAATTATAGCAAACAAAGCTCGTACAGCATTGTATGATAAATTACCCTGCAGTATACCCAGCATGTTTCACAAATTCCGGATTTGAGCGGTAATGAATGAAAAGTAAACAGTGACTCGTAATTTATTTTCTCTAGCTTAATACATTTCTTATGGTAACAGGCATTATATGAAATCAATAATAAATGCCTAAAAATGTGACCACTGCCGTAAATGCTTTATTCTAATTATGATATGGGTTGGTATTTAATATTAAACCAAAGGTAAAGTTTAATTATAATTAATGCCTGGTAAAGTTTTTGAGAAGTTTTTCTTTAGGATTTCAATATCATCAAACCGATACCTGTAACTATTGCCTTCGCATAGATATTTAGCCCAAACCTTCGCCATCATTACTATAGGCAAATGTAAAGTAAAAAATAAAGTAACAGCCTATACATATATCCCACTGCTGAGCAAAAGCCTCCTCTGTACAGAGGGTATAATAATTACTAATTAGACAATATGCAGGTTTCCTAACGATCATAAAGAGGTGATAGACGTGCTCAGCGGTGAAGGAAATCATCTATAAAAGTTTTGTTTATTTTCAATTTCATTTTCATTCACTTTCACAAGGCAACAGTAACAGATAATTCGTGAAAAGGACTCGGTTGCAACGGTTTGTTGATAACCTAAGGCTTGCTAAAAAAGTAACACATATGGCCTATAACGGAGAGGTCAAGACGACTGATGAGCCGAAGAGTACAGCGTAGGAAAAGAAAAGCATTTCCAATAATGCTTTTCTTTACACAGAAATTACACACAATTATTGAGCACTAGATTTTCGCCCGCGGCTTCGCTCCCGTTGAAGCCCTATAAATATCTTTCTTTGAAAAATCTTAAAAAAAAAAAGTCCTTTCTCAGGCTCTAGACTATCTGTGTACCAAAATTCATTTAAATCGGTTCTGTAGTTTTGGCGTGAAAGCGAGACAGACAGACATCCAGAGTTACTTTAGCATTTATGATAATAGTATGGATCGGACGTTACGGTAATTGATAAAGATTTGTTTCGTTATTAATTTAATCTTGGTAGATTACCGTTTGTTTTTCTGTTTCTGGTTTTTAAAATTTCATTATACGTCACCGTATTTTTATTGATGTCAGAAGCTGCAATACATACTTATCCAATTATCTGAGTACAGTTAAAACCGAGTTAAAACCGTTCAGTTAAAACCGAGCGCTAGTACACTCAACCACGAGATTTACGATAGCTCTACAAACGACAACAATAACGACGCTACAAAGACGGACATCTTGTTATTTTATTTGCAATAAAAAAATCAGCCAATAAATTCAATTTGCTCGCTCTACTCCGATTCTGACAGATTTGCACGTGACGCACAAGAAATTACGACATAGTTCGAAAATACATTACACAAGTCAATCAGATGTTGAAATCTTTTATTTAGGTGCATGTTATTTATGTAATATTAATTTATGCTGGCTCCTTGTGCACTGCCTCGTGAGAGTTGGCGGAAGAGTTATTTTATGTAATGCATTGTGCCGATTGCGCAGCTGGGTCCCAAGTATCCGTGAATAAATCAGAGCAAATCAAAATACTTCCTCCGGCACTTTGTTTTCTCCGACAGTACTTTATATTGAACTGGTTGTTATAAAATTCCTTTTGTTGAGATAACATTTCACATGAAACTTTTATCTGTTGTAAGACCAAAATGGCTGTCTTATGATTTAAAATAATGGGAAATATATCAAAGTAATTATGCATCTTTAAAACTCTCTTCAATTATGCTTGAAAACAAGTAATGGGAGCTCTACGTGAGCGTGACTTATATTATTAACTAGCTCATAATAACAATAAATTACACATGTTTTCAAGACATATTTTACACAGCGTTCTTTTCCGCAAAATAAGCAAAGTTGGTACAATGAGCACTAGATAACTGATACCAAACCAAGCAGGCATGAAAAACAAAGCAGATAACCAAACGAAGCAGGATCGAATCCTGGCGAAAATTTTTCGACAGTTTATCTATTAAGCTCACATTTAAGTTTCATTTTAAGAGCAGAATAGCAGTTAAAATAAAAAAAATCTTATGCATTCGACAACTCATTTCAACCAAGACCGTCATGACCAGGTTCGTATAGTGAATCTACCTCTTGCGCCAGAGTGTGGGTTCGATCCCCACTATTAGAATATATTGTGTGATGAACAAATTGTTTTTATGTAAGTGTAATACGTGTTTATTTACAAATGAAAAATATGTTTATCGGTTATCTTGTGCCCTTAGTACAAGCAGGGCCGGATTTAAGGGGAGGGCAACCGGGCCTTCACAAAAGAGGGGCCCCCACAATAGACTTCGGAAAAAAAATTCAAATTATGACTAGTAAACACTAGTAAACTTTTCCTTTTATATTTTTTTTCGCGTTTTACGTACATTACTTTGTACAAACATGATTACATTAAATACTAACAGAAATCAATCGAAAATAATTTGGGGCCAAGAGGCCTCGACTCCTTCGTTGCCCCGAGACGTCCAGAGCTCTAAATCCTGCCCTGAGTAGAAGCGTGGCTTACTTTGAGTCTAGAGAACGTTGTGTAAGAGTGTGTTCTAAAAATATTTATCTATTATTTCAATTGTTTCAGGCGGCGAATCTGATCACATTTTCCACCTGCACGGCTACAGTTTCTACGTGGTTGGCGTGAGGACGTTCAACGCGAGCGTCGACAAGGACCAACTGCAGCGAATGAATGAGGATGAGACGCTATTCGCTACAAAGAACCTAATAGACCCCGTTGTTAAAGACACTATCGTGATACCTAAGTTCGGCGTGGTCGCATTACGGTTCCGGGCCGACAACCCTGGATACTGGATGATGAGGGACGAGAGATCGGCCCACTGGACGAGGGGCCTCGACTTTGTGTTGAAGGTGGGCGAGGAAAGGGACTTTGTTCAGGCACCAGCAGATTTCCCCAAGTGCGGGTCTTACGTCGGCCCGGAGTACTTTTTAATTTGAACTTTAATAAAAACGTGGCGAACAGAATTAGTTACCAGAATCTCTCGAGTTGCTCAGTGTTAATTGGAAATGTGATGTGATGTCATGAAAGAGAAAGATGATATTTCTATTTATTGTAGGGTATACGTCCTTAATCGGTTGTCATATGAACGTAAACATTCTTATTATATGTATATAATATTGATTTATTTAATGTGGCAATATTAAACTTAAAGACTTACATATATTCCAAGGTATTGTAATGTTTATAGGTCTAAGTATTAAGAGGGTTCTTTAATAATGTATTATTTTGGGATTGCGTGAGATATAAAATGAGAGAGCGAGAGAGAGCATGACTGTTTTGTATATATTCTAAATCGTTTACTTCATCACATATCATTAAAGTGTTTTAATAGATTTAAGTGTATAATTCAATAAAAAAACATCTAAAATTATTTAATTCAGGATAATCTTCTCCTCTTTTCATAAATGAAAATTATATTAAATATAATTATTTGTAATAATAAGTTAAGAGCTTTTCTTCAAAGGAGAAATATTCAATACAGATGAAACTTTTTTTGCGTTCACTTCAATAATGACTAATGGTGTGACACCTTTTGAAGAATGGCCTCATTTCTATAGAAATAAAACGTGGAAGCTACCTGAGTTTTAGGCGACTGTGCAGATGGTGAAAGCGTTTATAATGGATTTGTACATATTCCGTTACATTGGTTTTTGGTATGAATATTCCTTAAAATGAAATATTAGTATTAAATTTAACTTTTTCGAGAGCCATTTTTTTATGATGTTCAAGATAAGGTATATAAAGGTGTATAAACGTTATTATGAACATTTTACACATTTATTTAATATCGTCAGTATCGTGCAATAATTCAGAATGACTATAATAAATAATGTTCACGTCTTAACACTTGCATATGAACCATGTACAGCTCTTTATTGTGAAAAATTTACGGTTTGCTATTTGATAGTACATCATATAGCAAACTACTGCTCACATACAGTATATGCTTTATTTATGTCGTCGGTCAGTTGTTGCTTGTAAATGTTATAAGTTTTTTCTGGTTATATAATATCGTTCTCAAATTCTGTAATAATAAAATCGCCGTTTACTGGTGTTAACAAAAAATTGCGTTGAGAGAATTTTTACATCAAATACTCCTCTCTTAGGGTTTTGACCTCGTTCAGCGCACTTCTCTTGAATACCGGCACTTATATCAGCAAACGGTGCGTATCTACTAAAATTAAAGAAAAAAAATGTAATAAGCGCACCAATGAACTGAGAAAAACTTTCTAAAGATTACTGATTGTATTATCCTCATGATTATTTTCGTGAAACCTACTCTAAAAACAGCCGAGGACACTTGAGAAATTTGTTGCATTAACTGAAAATCAAAAGCATATCGATATATTATTATTGTACATACATTATTATATATAGAAATGGTAATAGCCGAAATTGTATCATTAATATCTTTATTTCTCTGTATAGTAAAGATATTATACTTCTACTTTTTTCAAGTTCAGTTCAAATGCCCAATAATAAACCTGAAATATTCCAAATAGATTGCGAATAATGTAATGTGCAGATTCAAACAGTTAACATCCGCAAAAACAGTATCTGTTCCTTTTTAAAATGACACTCGAGATGCACGTGTTTAGAATAAGTTCGTTGTCTCTTGCTTTTTCCACAATTCTCATTTACAATATTCTCATTATTAAATATTCATATTATTTTTAATAATAATATTCAAACAATATTCAAATAATATTCAAATAATAATATTCATATTGGGGGGATATTCATTTGTTTTCTCGTCAGGTTGGGTTTATAAATATGAATAAAATATAGATACATATTGCATATATTAAATAAATATAATAATAAAAATAAATATTCATATTATTTTTAATAATTCTCATTTACCACAATTCTCATTTTGTGTCATCAGGTGGGATTGGCACAAAATGAGAATTGTGGTGTTAATTTTGTTGGCTAGGTTCTCTTACGAACAGCCGGCAGGGTTGACACCCTTCTTGGGAACTAATACCTAAATTAGGGACAATTATCTGTGGGTCAGACAAGTGCTAGTCCCGTTCAAGGATCGAAACCATCCCTGGTGTCGAAGTCCAACGGTGTGATTATTAATATTATATAATGTAATGTTATAAAAATGTTATAAAATAAGGTTTGATACTCATCGACGATAAATCTCTAATTATGTGACAACTTTTAATAATGAAATTAGTATAAATTCTTTTTTTTTCTATTATTATTATTATTATATTTTTTTTTTATGGAGAAAAGGGGCAAACGAGCAGGAGGCTCACCTGATGGTAAGTGATTACCGCCGCCCATGAACACCTGCAACATCCGAGGGCTCACAAATGCATTGCCGGCCTTTTAAGAAAGAATACGCTCTCTTTTTGAAGGTTCCCAGGTCGTAACGGTTCGGAAAGACCGCCGGCGGCAGTTGGTTCCACAGAGTGGTTGTGCGAGGCAAGAAATGCCTTAAAAATCGCGCTGTTGTGGAACGTTGGACATCGAGGTGGTGTGGATGAAATTTTTGGTTCTGGCGCGATGTCCGATGATGGAATTCAGCCGCCGGGATCAATCCAAACAATTCCTCAGAACACTCCCCGTGAATATAAAGAATAATAAATGAATGCATAACATTATCATTTATCCGCATTTAGGATAAATGATAATGTTATGCATTCATTTACTTTTGGTCAATTAAGACTTACGGCAATACTAAGAATTGGTGCATGAATATTAAAAATCATTTATTATGGATACATTTTGCCTAAATTCTGCCAGTGGTCGTAAATTGCTAGATATAAATAAGTACTTCTTGATACTTAATTAATAAATAAATTCAAGATATAGGAATGGTTGTTCTTCTCAACATTATTACTTGTATTCTAGATTTTAAATTTGAAGTTGCCTCGGATAATTAATTTAATGTCGCCTCGGAGTTTATTGCCTGCGTTATGTTAATTTTTATTTTACTACCTCTTTTGTTTGTATTTGGTTAGTACGATTAGTTAGTATGATTAAGGTGACTTGTAAAAAAATTAAAACATATTTGGTCTCTAGATCTATTTGATATGCATGTCAAGTTAACGGCTTATTATGTTGTTTTTGTCGGTATATGGGCCGTCATGTAGCTATTGATGAAAAAAGTTATAGACAAGACGTATTGCATTCACTGCTAAGAAAATAGAACGGGCCGTCATGTAGCTATTGATGAAAAAAGTTATAGACAAGACGTATTGCATTCACTGCTAAGAAAATAGAACCAGGTCAGTGACAGCCGTGTTACAAATTCGAATTTGTAAACGTCGATTCAGTTACGAGTAGGACAATAGCAAACTTTTTTAGTGTAACACATATGTGTTTATAACAATATGCTGTATTATATAATATGCCAGTCTGCTAACATTACACTGTTCGTAGTTTCGCATCATATCAGTTGAAATGATAATGAAAAGTAATAAATGTCTTGAAGTTATAACAGGGAATTTAAATAAAATGCTTTTCTACTGGAGTCAAATAATATAATTATCATTGCGAATTAATTAGATGAATCTACATAATATATCTGCATACAATAAGGTCGTAATGAGCTTTAAAGAATTAGATTGTTAGCCGTATAGTTACAAAAAGCTATGAATATCTCTATTGATCTATCGCTAATCCCATGAACAGCAGACTGAAAAGGCAATTAAATTTTAATAAACAGATGACCCACTAATATTTTTCCGTTTATTCCTAAAGTTAAATCCAAGATTAGAAGACTCGATTTTTTTTCCTTTTGTATAAGTATGCTTATGCTTATCGCAGATGAATTAAATTTGGAATTAAGATGAATGACTATTACTTGTCATTTTGCCATAGTTATATGAAAAAATACTTATGATGAAGCTGTTAATATTTGGGAAGGTTAAGAAAAAGGTTGAAATTTTTGGTAATGGTGAGAAATCTTCGAACTGCAACAAAAGCATAACCTTGAAGATATTCTAGTAGATAACGTAAGCATATTTTCTATTTCACAATGTTATATGAACTTTATACACTTATATTTGTACACCGTATCTGCATATTTTTTGAGATACAAAGTGCTGTCTCATCAGGAAAGGTTTTAAATTTTCTCCATATCAAATGAAGTAAACTGCGCCTTTATTATTATTATTCAAAAAGATATGTTTAGTATGTACAGGTATCGATAATAAAAACATTGCTCTTACAATTATTCTACAGGGAAAACATCATGCTGTGTTTTAAGGACGTTTACAAACATATTTTTGGACAAACGCCTACATCCGAAACAATTATATGAAAGTCGCACTGTTGCCCTGTGTCGGCATCGAACCTACCAATCACGACGCCGAAGCCACTAACTTCTGCGCCACGGAGTCATCTAAAAAAAATTACTGTCAATATTTGCGATATGCCGTGAGCGCGTTTGATATTGACATTAAAATAAGCGAATGCAACAATTTGCTTGAAATGTTGCCAAATGCAAAACGAAAAAAAAAAAAACGTTCAATGGTCCCCAATTAGAGCCGACCCGCTAACGCGCAATCAAACGTGTGACGTTGCCGATTTGCAGGCGGCTGTTGGTTTACTCTTCACCGTTCGGAAAGCGCTCTTTTGATCGAACGTCGAAATAGTGAAAGTTGGTCAAATGACATTTTAAAACGAGTTCCGTTTACGGAGAGTTCCATCGCTCGTGGAGACCGCTTAACGCACGCCATGTCCGACGATGGAGATCTTGGCTACTGGAATGCCTTTATGAATCAATATTCGCTCATGTTTTTAAGATATCATTTTTAAAATATATGGAACGGAATAATTAACCATTATTTACATCCTATTTTCGTCACGGATTACATTGTGTTTAGTAACTTAACATTATGATACGTTATATTGGACATTGACATAATCCGCCACATGACGACCGATGTGCAGTGGTTACTTTACACTGTAAAAT